TAGAGTGCGCCCTTCGGTGTGACGACATTTTCAACTTGCCACTACAACTAACCTTTGGAGACGTCCCTTTAAAATACCTGTTCCCAAAGGAAGATTAGATGCGAGAAATTATTGTTATCCAACCGTGCCGTGGATCCGTGGAATAACCTGCCCGAGGCGATTGCTATGTCTCAATCTGTACAGACATTTAATTGTCATTTTGACAGACATTTGCTACAGCAACAAGCGGACTATGTGAGTTTGTCACCATAAGACCAGTGACCTGTGTAATTCGATGTCTGCATTCACTTAATGCCATAATTTCTTTACATATTTGCTGATTATCTCGACTGCTTATGTACAGATAGGGGGTTCAAAGGCGTAAGCCAATTCCTCTCAAATACATGGAATACTGAATACTGAATTTGCGAATTCTGATGATACCCAGTGTGTAATTGAATCTATATGAAGTACTGTGTTAGGCTGGTTGTAAATATATTTGAGTATGATAGCGAGTCAAAAATCGCAAAAAGGAATTAATGTTTCTCGATAAATTTCTGTAAAGTCATGAAGGCCGAATGACATATTTTGTCGACAGTAACTTTTATATCAGACATGGTTTATAGGGAGGGGTGTAGAAGAATTTAGCTGATATTTTCTTCTCATTTAGCTCAGTATATTTTAAGGGTAATAGGCAATGCCTTTGAAAACCGTATTGAAAACGGCACATGGCATATCTAACGTTAACTAAACATGGCACTAAAGTGTTGTCAGTAATACAGACACTTAACAGAATATTTTCCGTAAAAATGCAGGACCGAAACTCGAGAAGATTCGCTTGTAGATGATTACGGCAAAATAAAATGACAACCATCCGCATTAGCGATAGATTTATTCAGGGCATTGGTTTGGCACAACAGAGCTGCTCTGTCCAGACAAGCGACATTTTCCAAACAAATATACATCTAGTCTTTGTTTAGATGCCTCCGTGAAATCCGCTACTTTCACGTCCTCGGAAAGCGCGTTCCAGGCACAGACGACTCGCTGTAAAAAAGCATATCTGCGAACGTCCAGGCGACATCGGGATCCTCTAAGTCTTAGCGACTTTCTACGCAGGTTTGTTGTTGTGGCCAGAGTGAAGAAATCATCGAGGTCTAGGACACAGTGCTGGTTTCTCAAAATCCGATACACATGTATGAGACCTCCTCGGATCTGCCTGTACTCAAGAGGAAAGAGCTTAAGCTCATCAAGTCTACAGTTTTCATTTAACGTCACGAGGCCTTTCACAATTTTAGTCGATCTCCCCTCCTCTAGCAACCTATAGTCTTTTTTTAGCTACGGGCGCCATGCTTGGATTCCATATTCCAGATGCGAACGAATGAATGCTCCGTATACTTTTCCAAATAACTGTTTGTCTATATCTATGAAAATTCGTTTAATTGCAAAGAGAATATTGGTTGCCCTTTTGGCCGCCCTAACGCATTGAGAGGAAGACTTAGAGGACGACAAAAAGTTGATCCCAAGATCTTTTTGCTCGGTTACATTTGAAAGACCCCTTTCACCAAACAGATAATGGTGATCCTCTCCGTCGGCTCTTTTATGCGTCTTGAGTCGCAATGCGACGCACTTCTCAAGGTTAAACTTCAGCAGCCATTTGTCCAACCATTGACATAGGCGGTTCAGTCCTTCTAGCAGGGTCCTTTCATCTTTATCCCCCTTGATCGTTCGTCATAACTTGATGTCATCCAGAAACATGATTCCATTGCAGTCCAGTCCGTTAAAACGGTCAATGACATAAATTTAAAAAACTGGGATGAGTACAGAGCCCTGGAAAAGTCCACTCACAACTGGCACTGGCGTTGACTTCGCACTAACAATACGCACAGACTCTGGTTGGCCGGTCAGTAAGTCCTTTACCCAGTTTAATAGGTTTCACCTTATCCCAGACTCTCGGACCTTGTAAAGTAACCGGTGGTGTGGAACACTATCAAAGACTTTCTTGAAATCGATGTGGAAGATATCGACCCTTTCCCTTCGTTTAATGAGCGTGACCACTGCTCGGTTGAATAGAGCATATTAGTTAAGCAGGCGTTGGGAATAAGCAATGATATTACATTCTTCAAGGAACTTCATAAGCGATTTTTTGACTATTCTCTCCATAACTTTGCAACAAATGCACGTTAGGCTCACCAGCCAATAATTGTTTGCACTTGGTCTAGATCCACCTTTCTGAATAGGGCATATGCTCGCAACTTTCCAATCAGAGGGAGAATGTCTCGGTCAACCGACGACTTGAAGATATGCAAAAGCGGTCTGGCGAGTTTGCAAGCCAACTCCTTAGAGCTTTTGGCAGTATTTGGTCTGGAGCCGGAGACTTACCTTCCTTAGGCGCTGGAAGTTCCTTCGTCAAATCTTCTTCCATGAAGTCAGTGTTTTCCTTTATTTCTTCGGTCGTTCTAGTAGGCAATCCAGCCTCGTCAACGTCCGTTTTATCTGTGAAAACCGATACGAGTAAAGCACTTTTGACTTATCGACGGCCCGTTCTATAACCCGTGTTTCATGCTCCTTCCGCTATCTGCGGATAGGCGACCTTACCTCGTTTCGCTTTGGGTGAAACTGTTCGTAATGAGATGGTTGTTTTGTTGTTGCATACCTTCTCCATAGTTTATTCTTTTGGTTTGCTTCTTTCTTTATGTCCTGCTTTATCCAGACAGTACAATTATTCTTTTTGACTCTCTTTGTCGGACAGTTTCAATGCATGATGCCGGTTAAAACGTCTTTGAGAGTGCTCCAATAAACATCTGGATATCCGGTAAGAACATTATTCCAGTCCACTACCGATAATTCCCTTCGTATGACGGCAAAACTTCCTCGCAAGAAATTCAGCCGAGACTCAGTCATGCCGATTTTTGGCTGCATAGGCGGTATCCCCAAAACAGCATGATAAGGTCACTCTAACCGAGCGGTGCTATGGACATAAGTTCGTCAGTGTTAATTTAGTCTTTTGTAGGGACTAGGTCCAGACAATTGTTCTTTGGTCCTGTCTGATCCTGGCTGGGAACGTGTCACTCTCTACCAGAAAGAGATTAGCCGTTAGCACAGAGAGCCTGGAATCAAAGGAATTTCGCGAGCCATTTACTAGTAAATTGTTCCAGTGGACTTATAGACTTTAGTGACAATTGACGTAGGAACTTATCGAAAATTCTGAATAATAACCAATTTCAACTTATTTTGGATCTGAGGATTTCGAACAGTTGTGCACTATCGGGCTTTTTCCCTCCATCTTATAGACACCTGAACCGCAGACCACTCTGGACATTCAGGATTGTCCGTGGCTATGGTTGTTCACCGAAATCAGAGGACATTTAAATTTGTCCATACAAACCAATTACGTGGTCATCGCTATAAATCCAAGAGCAAACGCACGTGGCTAGACCGCAGGAGGTTTTCGTTCAGTCAACGGGTTGTCCGACCATGGGACACCTTACCAAGTGAGATGTTGACGGCCGACACAGTGTACACGTCTAAATGAAAATTTGCTCGCGTTATTTTTGATAAAAACTACTTGAACGACATGACTGCTCTCAGTTAGCTCTGTTAAACACGTTGTTAAACACGATCTTTTCGTACTGACTCACAGTGAACAGACGCTCTGTGTTGTATTGTGAACTGATCACATTGTAAATGTTGGAAACCTTATTTCGAGTGTGAATATTCGACATCGTTACACATAAAGGGGGCCATCAACGGGTCTGCCTCTAAGACTTTCAATACATATAGAGATACAAATATAACACTAACGGAGAGGCGTTCACCGTTCGCGTTACATGACACACGCGTCCCCATTTGTGCCTTTGGACTCAACCTCTAGCCCTGTCAACCTCGTTGGGGGCTAGTAGTATAAGAAGAATAAAATTGCCGACAAAGAGCGAGACGGAATGTCTCCTTTAAAGCATAAAGACTATTTGACGATGTAGCGTTTAGTGGCAGGTAATTCCGAAGCAAGTTATACCAAAGTCAAAGAAGAGGATCTGCGACAGACACCCCAAATTGTTTGAGTTTCTCTAAAGTCATGGATGAGCCACGCCCTCTTATTTCCTGAATTTGTTGCGATGCTCCTGTTCCTTACAACATATGGGGAGTCAATAGGTGCACGCCTGATATCTCCTCAGGCAAACTGAATTTAAGACATCACACCCTTGGCTTTAGATGTTGCTAAAATGCCTCGTATCTCCTTTGATCCGTTTACTATCTGCAGGATGCGAATTACCAAAAAATGCTTCGGAAGAATACGACTTTTTCGTGACTAGACCCACTTAATCGATTCGCAGTGCATAAGTCTTTTAAATGGGTAGAAAATATTCCGCTTCGTACGAAGCTGTTTCAGTGGTCGTCTCGTTTCCGCGTTACTCGGTTGCTATCTGGTATACATCAGATTTCTTAAACATTCGCTCTTGAGGTGACTATATCTCACTTAAATTCGCTCATTCCGCTTCAAGTTATTCTACCTACTTGTCTTTTATTTTGCTGCTGCACGATGACCACGAGTGGTCTGCACTTTAGTCTGAAGAGTAAAACAGTACAATACAGTTATGCCGAGAAGGTTAAAGAGGCTTTTTAATCTCTTAAATACAAGTCTTCGAAATTAATCGTCTTTTCGGTAACTGTTTGTCAATGGAATACTCATAAGTGGAGCGTTTATGCTAGATGTGTAATAGAGCAAAAGGGGAAACGGAAAGGGGTAACAAAGATGGATTGGAAGGGGTTAGAGGAAAGTGTAGTTGCTGCGTCAGTTAAAATATTCGGGCTTAATGCATAATGTCTCGCTTTCGCTGCTTGTGGGCTCTCCCGAAAAATCAAGATCTGCTTGATATACATCTATCAAAAAATAGACAAATGCTCGACATCGCCTCGATATAGTTTGTTACCAAGACAGACTACCATGGAAGTGAAATAAGTCTCTCTTTTTCGAAGTTAAAGTCTTAATGGCATATTCTGAGCACACTTTTATTTTTGCAGACATGGGCGAATTTGCAAGGCGCGTTCTAGGCTATCCAGTAATCAATGGCACCGTGAACATGTTTGGTGGCGCGCTTAAGTGGTTGCTTGGGGCCGACCGATACAACACATGGTTCAGTTTTGGACAACAAGCAGCGACTCTGGTGAAGGACAGTACCGTGTCCGTTGCAGGCAACGGTAAGTTCGGGGTTTTATTTTTAGTTAGTGCATACATGATTACCTGTTTTGACTGAAAATCACAGTTTTAGCTTATCTTTCTTTGATATCTAAACGTTTTACCGATTTTGCGGTTTTATGACTTGTCTTTGCTAAATAGTGCATATGGGAAGACCCAGAGAAAAGCCACAACAAGTAAGAGCAAGTCAACATGACAATGCTTTTGATTTCGACTCGCCCTCTCTTCTCATATCCCTTCTTTTATTTTTCCGTGTTCGCTACACGTCAGAATTATGTCTTGAAGTTCCACGTTTTACAGTCTTAGAAGTTCTCCTAAGCAAGAAGGTGCCGCCGAGGTTCTTCTGTCTGAATTGTTAGTCGGCCAAACCTGATGCCAAACTGGACACATAGTCGCCTTTGATATCAGCCGTGGCTAGTTTATTTCGTTTTTTTCTGTGTAAAAGTTCACGCTTCCCACAAGATTTGGGTCCAGGATTCCATATAGAACAAGATGGCTTTTCAATTTATTCCTTTCCTACATTGGACTCCCGGCTTTGACAACCCTAGCCCCTTCAGCCTCTCGTAATTTACAACCTCGGTTACGAAGGCCGGTTTTCGGGTTTGGGTTACCAAAGTGCTGGAGAGTCATTTTCAAGAGTTTTCACAACTACATGATGCAAAGGAATACAGAGTTAACTGTGGAACTTTTGTTCATTATATTAAACGGAAAATGAGGGCGAGGACGCTTACAGGGGGTTTTTATGATCACTGCAGAATTTCCATAGCGATTACAGGTAAGCATTTCAGCACTCTTATACAACACAAAATTCCCCTCTTGTCATATCCGGAGTGGGTACCGGTGGACATCGCAATTATTGCCAAAAATATGGTAGGTGGGGAGACTTTATTGTTTTGCCACTGGCTTGTACGCGCAGAGAATAGGGCGCATCTAATGATAGCTAATCTGGATGAGTCCTCCATTTCGCTTCAGTGGTATTTTAAAAATGTTGCGGAAGATCGCAATATTTTCTGGTGACGGGGATGTGAGGGAAAAGGAAGGCCTAAAAGTGAGGTTGACCCTCTCGTCCATAAGAAATATAAAATCCTTATGGACGAAATTCACGCTCATAATTAAGTCCAACAATTTTTCTTTGTTAGCGAACCTTTAATACCTGACTAGACAGCCGACTGACTGTAGTATAGCTTTCGATATGCTTCCCCGAAAAGTTCTGTGATTGATTTCCTGGCTTTCTAAGGTTTTATTATGTAAACTTTCTTTTTGGTATCCTTCCACACCGGCATGTCTATACTGACTACCAGAAGCTGCCCCGTTTGACTTACGCACATTCAGCCGCTGGTTTAAAGTAAGAACACGACTCTTCCTTGCTTTGACGTAATTCAACTAATATATTTTCTCAGGGCTCAAGGTTGTAGCAGAATCGCACATCTAACTTTGAAACGTCGTTTTACCTTTAGCTACCGTGGATCGTCTTGACACCATTGCCTGTCGACAAATTCTGGACCGCCTGGAGTCGTTAGTGCCGCAGGTGAATCAATCACCCGAAGAAGCTTTTGCACCACTCGTTGAGCGGGCAATAAGTTTGGCTGAATGCTTTTTAACCTACTTTGTTCGCTCATCAGAACTGGTAAGCGCCGTCTGCAAATGATGTAATAATGAGCTCACCTATATCATATTTTGTCTTCTTTTCCTTAACAACAGTTTTCAACGATTTTCTCACAAACCTGTTTGTCTTCACTTTCCCAGAGGTCGTTTCAGAAAAGTATTAACCTGCCTTGAACATCATCAATCAGTATGTTGATTAGGGACCTCCAGAGAAGCAAACAATATTTTTTTGGAAATCACACGTCTGTGTACAAATTTTTATTAAATCTTGGGCAGTTTTTCAAAAGAAGCTCAGCGGTGTTTCTGGGGCCTTTTTTAAATGCCATTAATGGTTTTAGTGACGTCTAGCAAACACAGGCTTGCTTTCCGCCATTTCCTTCCTCTTTTGGGCAGCTCAAGAATATGAATCATGAGTGTTTGGCTCGATGACTACGGTGACCACCTGCCACTAGCCATATTCCACTTACAAATCCGAAAAATCTCATTCAGAGCGGTTCCCCTTTTCCAGACATAAATTTGGCACTAGACTTAGTGCTACCGAAGAGTTCCCGTTTCACTTTCTTTTTGGCTCTACTAGGGTTAAAATGTCGCAGGTTTTCTACGGTTATGTAGTCGAATTGAAACCATTGAGGACCAACTGAAGACACTGTATAAAGCCCCACTTTTATTCTAACATTAACTGTGCGTTCTTAGTGGGGCAAGATCGGACTTTTTGGCCACTGAATATGTTTGCCTAATGACGATTGCTGCAATCTAACTTTTCGGAAGTCAGGGGAGACTCATGCGCCTTAATTACTCATTCATGGTGGATTTTGAATGTAGGTAAGGGCCAAATTATGGTTATGGTGATTAAGGACCCCGTTATTAGATTGGATGGACGCTTTCGTCTTGCGCACGTTGGTTGACAACATCAATTTGTATAGCTACCTACCGATATAATAGGTTTTGGTGATGTCTGTCAAAGTAAATTCTCTAAGTCCCTGCTGAGGTCTCAACTGTCCATACTATCGCGATCAAGCATAAAATTATTTGCGAAGACTAATATTTTTACAATTGCTTCATCGCGAGCGTATTTTGAAATCTAATCGTAAACTTGAGCCTACATACTATGATAGTTTTTGTTCTTTACAAGTAGGTAAGACTTGTGGGCGCTGGGGTTCGACCAATTTTTGCCCAGCGAATTCAATTTCAAAGATGTGTTGCGCAGTCTTTTATGCCTTAAGGCCCTCTCCATATCCATCATGCTTGTAGTGGCACCACCTCATCAAAATTTTGTTTGGGCCCGCCTAATTAACACTATCGAGTGATTCTTATCGTGTCCGCTTAGTGGTGCTTTCAATTTGTGGATGTTCCTGAAATCTCGATAGCTCTCTTTAGATTGCTATGTTTTGTCCGGTCGATAGTCGCGCACATGGTCTTTTCCACTCATTCCTTTCCAACCTTTCACGTATCCCGGCAAAATAAAGGTGTAGCACTTTTATTAACTACCAACTCGCGAGTCGTCCATGTAGTCTGAAGTCGTGTAGCGAGAGGAGGCTATAAAGGACTCATGAGTGCTGAAGCAGGCAGAATTTGTCAACGTCATGAATTGTATGACCACTCGCTCACCTGCGACAATGTAGTTCCAGTTGTGCCCTACGAGTTTTCGTTGCAGTCACGTATTTTACCTTTACCCCCTTCGCGCCAGGTCTGACTAAAATTCGCCGGCGCCCATGTATCCATCCAAACTATTTTCTGATTGAGCAGCGCATTAGCTGCCCACAGTTTAAAGAGAGATCGGACGTTTATTACTTCGTTAAATTCTACATTTTCGCCTCTGGTTTGTCTAAATTTATCCCTGGATATCAATATTTTGAACTCGCAAGCGACACCCCTGTTTGACTTACGAGGTAAGGCAGTGATCTTCCGAATCCGTTTTTGCCAGATTTTGTGGTTATTATGTCATTCTATCCCCCGTGAAACATTGTCAGTAAAAAATAAGCCGTATTTTTGTCGGTGATTCACAAAGCATCATGCTGCGGGAGTTGGCGATTCATTGTTAATTTTCATTAAGGTAGTGGTTTAGTTCCGTGTGGCAAAACTGCTCAAGCAAGTCTGGTGCCAGTAATAGTCTTCTACTTTCTAACTTATGTGAAAAAGTTGACGACTTTCTTTTTGTCGTCGTCGAATGCCAGGGCGTGACCAACTAGCAGGTTACGTTACTGGTTTAGGGCACGAAGGCGCGACCTTCCGTTGAATTACTTGTTGCAGTAATACTTAGGATCGGTCATTGCAGGCAACTGTTTTGTCCTCGTTCGTCCTCCGCCCTTGACCTTATATCTAACACAGGGTGGGGAGATTTGTTTCGGTCTTCTGTGCCTATGTCACCGATGCTATTTCATCTTCTTCCGTCACATTTCACTCGAGTCTGATTTTCGAAGCACGGGTGATTAAGAATCCTTGATTTCTGTATCTCCTCCACCAACAGCGCCGACATCTTAAAATAAACAGTTGGCTTTAGAGATCCCTTTAAACACTGTGTTGCACTTTAAGTGGGTATGTCAGAGTGCCCAGTAACGACAACTTAACTTCCTAACGCCATTCCTACCTGCTGTAACGAAAATACACATTCTCGGGCATAACTCGGAAGGAGAGGCGATTTCAGGAGCCGTGCGGGACGTTTTGAAAACTCACAAGCACTCCCCATTTGTAGTATCTCTACAGTGCCTTATTGGCCCTGACCATGCCGGCACATCTTTGATCCCGGTGTTGGGGGCGGGGTGGGGAGAGAAGATAAGAGGCGAGTGGTTATCCTGGCGATGGCTGCTCCCTTACGCTTCTTTTGGGGTCGACATCAGGTGGCATTTGTAGTCATTCGCTAATAACTTCTTAAGTTGTTTACCGGCTCTATGCACAAAACAGCCTTGGGGTTTTCAACTTTTTCATTTCCTAAGAAATTAATGCCCTAACTTTGGGTAAATCACTCAGAATGAAAAGTTATGGGCTCAGTCCAAAAGTCCATATAAATATTTGAACTAAAATTTATCAACTTCAACGGGGTAGCCGCGTAAATTTGCAAACTGCCAACATCCAACCAGTAGTATGCACATGTTCCATGATTTATCACACTGCCAGCACAGGAGTGTTCATCATGTAACACAAGGGAAACACTGGTGAACCGAACTCAGCAGCTGCGTCATGCAGCGGCAGGATGCCGACGAAACACGTGTCTGAGCTTTTAGCTAATAGCCGTGCTGTCACTATGGCAAATAATGCAACATATGTAAATTTTGAGTTTAAACTGAACATCGGCATCAGGAAAATTTCTATCGTGTTCACCACGAGATGTTTTAAATACAGTATAAGGCCTAGCTGAGTGATTAAGGAAGAGGCTTCCCTCGGCAGTTATGCAAACAGGCAACCATACCTGACCATCTCCAGCTATTCTCAACAATGTTTGAGATTTTGCTGGCTTTGACGCTTAGCACGTCATTGGACAGTAGGAACTTGCGGTTTCACCAAACTCAATGTCAGTAGTACTTGCTTCCATTGTCCGTCTGCCTTCAGCAGGTCTAATAGTATACCCATTACTGAGATTGGGAATGTCTGTGTGTGGGTGACATTCCGCCAAATTTCCCGGTGGAAGGCTGGTATGGAGTTAAGTCTCAAATTAACCGAAAAAATCTACCACTATTGCCTCAATATCGTGAGGTTTAGTCAGCGTGCGGCCAGCACCCTTCGATTTTTTAGAATGTCATCTCCAGTTATTATCATTTTTTTCCAAAAAACTACTACAGAGCCCGTTCCCGGAAGCCAGTGCCACCATTTCCTCTTTCGGTTAATCCTAGAGGTAGTGTCGGTCTTTTGATAATATGACTTGACTGCGTCAGTGAAGTTTGTTGAAATCAGTGCTGTTCCACGTCATATTTTATGATATTTTATGCACTTGGGTGGCCGTTTGTCTGTTGATAGACCACTTGCGTCACTGGTCCGCCACCGAGCCACGCTGACCGCCTGGCCCGTCTGCACTCCACGGTCATGAACATGCAGGCCGTAAGGTCGGCTCTGTCGACCAGCTCGTCAGTCTACCGGAAAATGCAGGAGTATCTTACTACGCTGCTCACCCTTGCACACCGCTCTCCGGTTGAGGAAGAATCTAACCCGACGATTACTTCTGGTGCCGTTTCTCCCGAAAGTGCTACCGACGTTCTCTCACATCTCCTTTCGCAGTACCAATCGGCTGCAGTAGTGGCATTCCCAAAGTTCCACAATTTCATCGACGGGTCGATTTCCCAGGCTCAACAGCTTATCACGGAAATTCGTCAAGTACGTTTGGTGTGCCTGCTTTCTTCCTCTGCCTCCTGTCTTCCTGTAGATTCTCTAGCGACCTGTTTTACAACGTAAATCTTATTCGACGAGTCATTTGCACGTAAGGTATGGTGCGATACTGCGAAGAGTTCTCGTAGTAGCCCTTTACAGGCTTCTGTGATTGGACTCGTAGCTCAAGCGCAGTGTCCCACGCTAAACAGGTTCGCGAACTTACTTCCTCCATCAATTTGTAGTCACTCTGGCATTCTACTTGACTTAAAGACGAACCCCATATCATAAGAGGGAGAGAGATTGGAAAATACAGAAGCTGGACTGTGTGTTTTCGACTTGGTAGCAGCAAACGGTCAGTCCCCCGAAATCAACAGTCGCTTCGTCTGCGGTGTAAATGAGGTTCTTAGCATGGCCGAGATGTGGTTAAGTGAAAACCCAACATTTTTTCCGGGGGCGATATTACTCCTTATGTCTACCTCGTTGCGGATTACGAAGGTTTTCGAGCGCATCTCTTTGATCATCCCGACCTCAAAATCAGTGGCTCATAACAGTAGCGCGCTGTCTGCCCGTCTGCGCTCCTCGTCCTCGCACCCCCAGCGTGAAGCAGTTGATCCGAACTCTCATCTATTGCCCCTCCAGCACACGGACCGCATTGCGCCTAGCCATTTCGTCGGAGAACTGTTCGAAATTCTTTCAAAAAAGAACCTATTCTTTCATTAATGCAAACTCCAAATGCCCATTATCGCAGTTTCTGTACATTGCCTCACACGGTTAGACTTCTCACACAGGCTTTCGTCAATCTTTTTGGATACGCGGCACAGATTCCTGAACTAGATTGGACCATCAGCAGTTTGTCGTGTGGATTTTTCATAGTTCCAGGTAATATGCAGTAGATATGCTATCAAATGAGTTAAGAGTGAATATTTCTGTGCTTGTTTTCCATATAATATGTTTGAATTTACAGGGACATCGAAGATCAATGGGAAAAAGGCATCCTGCTTAAGTACCCATTTCTTCAATTTTCCCACTCGAAGAGGGAGTATCTTTCGGCTTTTCAAAACTCTTTTATTCCCGAATAATTCTCTGCCCCATCCTCCGTTACATTGGTATTCAGGGTTTATTAACTACATGCTGCATACATCCCGTCAAGGGAATACCGCACATTTCTCCAAGTTGTTAGGTAGACGTCATATAGCACCTACCAAATTGTACAATGGGTGTGGACGAGGTTGTATACTTTATGGCAGTTTGACCGTCGAATCCGACGATGTCCACCGTGTGCTCTGCAGTAGATTGGGAGCAGGGATGGTGACTTGCGCGAGAATTGGTTTATAGCGATGACAGACTTTCGCAGCATCTTCCGCACTCTCTCCTCTTCCACCTGAGCCCGTTGTCAAGACATAGTCAATAAGACCGGAGGTAAGAAAGGGCGCATGTGGCTGGCACGGCGAAACTTGCACCTGAAAGTTCGACCGTCGGTTTCGACGATGTCCGTCGGTCAAACTCGCACCTCCTGGTCCACAACAAACACTTGACCAGCGTTTTACACACAGCAATAATAGGATGAGGCGGCTCGGATCCCACTAGGTGGGAGTGCCATAGAGGCCACATTAAGAAGGAACCATTGCAGCCTGGCCCTCAGCCCACCGGTCCGCCGCTACACAAGCACACTGGGCTGACGGCGAGATGCGAATTATTTCTTCAGTTGGCAACCTTTCAAGCCACGACGCTTAGCCCACCGTGGTAGTTGTATATTTTATAATTAACACTAAGAAACGTGATGATGCGATGCTGTATAAATGGACATTTCACGGTCCTTTTTAAAACCGAAAGATACTCCCTCTTCAAGTAAAAAATGTGGGAAAACGAATTTTGCTACCAAATTGGTACAAGAAATAGCATTTTTATGCGCGTCCCCTATAAATTATAATAGAAGTCATAGGGGGCATTGAAAATCAATGGGAGAAACCATAATACATAATTAATCATTTTTACAGGATGGTTTTTGCAGACGGCCGCAAAGAAGCTCATTTAAAAACCGGCATCCTGGTGTGTCTGAAATATCTTTGAATTACGCTGCACGATAAGTAATGTTACAACCCTACTTGAGTAATCTTTCCCATTCTAAAACATCTCCCAGAATTTCGGTTAACGCTTCATGAGATAGCACATCTACTATAGTTTTGGTATAAGTCATCTCGTCGACCGAAATTCCGTTTTAGGCGTTTTCGCACAGTAATTCGGCCTTACCGCTGGCCTACCACCTATGTGGACTTTATGATACTTACGGTTATAGCCGGTACGTGAACTCGGCATCACAAACGTGAAAGTATGGTAAAGATACTAGGAAATATACCACATAAACGACAGCTCATTGTTCTTTTCGCCCTCATAGCAATGCGAGCACCTGTCGCCTGCACACTCAGTCACCATTGCACTTTCCACTTCAATCCCATAAGCAGCGTTCCTTAGTCTTTATTTTCTCATTCAGAAAACGGCAATATACTAATTCTCCCAGTTGAGGAGAGAGTAGAGCTACAGGGACGACCCATAAACTCTCCACTTGAGGACCACCATGGCACGTTCTGCAAACCAAGAAAAACCACACTTTGGGCCTTCGGTGGGTAGAACTGCCGTATTTTTGGTGGTCTCTATTTTTGCCAACTCAGATACTTGACTTACTGGAAGATTATGAAAGACTCTGAAAGATGCAATTCCCGAAATCATTTGCTTCGAAATGAGAATATGTTAGTACGAGACCAAGCGGTCGGCAGTTTCACCACATCCTGCTACCCGCTCAGGCCACGTGGACACGTCGTATCCTCAACTTTCCAACTAAGCAATCCTCTTGGATGCGAAATGTTCCTCTTTTTCATTGCCCACATTTCTTTCTGTGAATGTGTCGCCCTCTTTACTTTCCCTCTCGTCCCTCAGACTGGTCCGACGGAATTCGTTGTAGAGCAGTTGGGTGCTCTCACGCGCGGCCTCCACAACACTCTCATCTGTCTAAACACCAGCCGGACTGCCTGGATCCAGAGCCTGATGTCTCAAAGCAGCGAGGGGGCAGGACAAGGGTCTCCTGCAGAACTGTCATCGGCACCTACGCAGGTACTTGGAGCCACACATTGTTCTAAATCAGTTTATTTACGCAAACACTAGTTCGATATCGCCACGCAGACCTCCTATCGTGGAGTTTGTTTAAAGCTGATTGTCATAGACGCTTGAGTGTTTTGAGATAGTAAGACACCTAACCGAGATTAATAAATACGCTATCCTCAAGAGTCGACAGGCCTAATCACTTGGACATTCTTCATTACATGAAATAATCATTATCACGTGGGGGGGATACCTTTCAACGGCACATCCATTCTCGTGTGACTGCGTGTTTCCGATAGCAGCCGACAAAACGTGAGTCCATTACCCAGTTTGTAAAACGTTGGGCTGCATGGCCAAAGGACTCATGTTCATATCCCAGGACTCCCAGTTTTTTGGTTTGGCGTATGACCCGCTGATAACGTAAATTAGGTCAGAAGCCGCTACTCCAGTCACTGTAGCCTTTGTTGGAAACGCTTCTCTAAATTCCTTACATTAGAGTGTGGCATGGGATTCGAAAGTAAAAATACGGCTTTCTACATGGTGGCAACTCCGATTTGGAAATGAATTATGTTGTCTCCGACTTTATTATTATTTATGATGGGTGGCAGCCAAGCCTCCATAGAAGAGTTGCCGGGGTCCGTGTTCGACTGAGATAATCTAGTTGTTTCTTAGAGTGCTTGAATCGGCGCTCCTGACATTTAAGCGCGTGGAGACTGCTCTCCACTTGTTTCATGAAGGATTTCCTCTACCGGATGGTTTTGTATCGGTCTTCTGGATGTCTCGCAAATGAATGTGACTGTCATTGGCGTGAAGCACATCTCACGCACTTCTTTTCTCGGCCAATACTTCCCATCAGTACTGATTCTCAAAAAAACTATCCTTGATGCCGTAGAATCTTTTGCACTGCGTGTGCCCGTGGGCTGTTTGTGAGGTGTCAAATCTTCGAAAAACTGAGTTGCTTACCTTACCACTCTTGTCATGTAACAATACGCTACCTTCCGCCATAATCGACTAGTAATCCACATAGGGATGAATCGATGACTGAAATCCCCTAGAGCTGCCCTATTAAGGCTCTCTGTGACCTTGGATCCTCGAGAAATTTGACGTGCCTGGTCAATTTCACGGCTGGCGTAGTACTCGTATTCCTCCAAACTGAGACTCATCCGAATTCATAGGTGAATTCATGTGATTAAACTCGCGTGGTCCGACGGGGCCTCGTAGCTCAAGTTGTTAGTGTTGACTGTACTAAAGCCTTCCCCTTACTGCGTGGATTCGAATCCCACGGAGGCGCTGAGTTTTTCACTGTTGGGTCAGTATGAACTCATCCGAATGTCACTACTCTAACGGAATTAACTTTTATCTTTACTAATCACCTTTTGAGTCGTTTTGGTGCCCACAAAAGTGATATCACATGGTGCTCGGTGTTAGTGCTAACATTCCTAATCTTTTTTGACCTCTTATCTATGTGACACCTCCCACATATCTATACATTTCGTCTGAGGAACGGCTGATTCATACATGTTGAAAATTTACAAATACGCACCGGTATCGAAAGGACTCCAAAAGAAGAGAGACATGTGGGTTTAATGTTCTCATAGTCTGTAATAATAAAAATCGTTCGTAGTCATTAGATAATGTAGACTATCTCAAATACTTGACATATTATCAGATAACCTTCCGAGTTCATACCATTGAAAACTAAAAATCCCAACACCTCTGTCTACAGTTCTTCTCAAAAGTGACATACGCGTCCTGAATTCTAATGCGCGCGGTTCTTCTGTATCTGTGAGCTGGACGATAAGCCGTGAAAATATGACTTAAAGGGTATAGATTTTGGCCGAACTGTATAGCGTGATGCGATGTCGGCCTAGCACAGCCAGAAGTTATTGTCCAGCTGCTGTTCAGACAAACCTCCATATTAGTACACTTCTTCCATGACTGATTGCTCACCATTCACCATCGTTCTCGGGTGGGTGTTTTCCTTTTCAAATACTGACCAGACATCCGGGGATGCAACTTGGAGGGCTTCTTGTTTTGAATGACGCTTAATAGTCGCTTTTGGTACTTTGAATTGCTGCCGATAGCCTACCAATGGGACAAGGTGATATGCTCCACTGAAGTCCTTGTCAGGCCATTTCCGTCATTACGACTATCCTGTTATGTTTCTGTTCTTAGAAACTTTAAATCACGCGAGTTTTCTTGTTTTATTCAGACACTGTTTTTTGATACTTTTCGGGCACAATATGATTCCATTTTGGCTAACGTTAGGAGACTTGATCTTATGAAATCTCATTCATCATAGTCACCCTTACAAGCACCACAAACTCCCTGCTCGCCTTCATTTTTATGCCCACGCTAATTCTCTGATCAATTGATTATTCTGCAATCGATTTTTAGTTCACTTCCGCGAAGACGAGATTCTGAGAATGTTGAACCTGCAAACGTCTAGACCGAGCTGTGATTCCAAATAGAACATGAGTAGTTGGAACTCTTCGTCGTTGCCCTGCCGCCAGCATATTTTGCATAGCTAAGGTTTGACTACCACTCTCGAAACTTTGTCAGCGGCCGTCACTGTCCTCCTTTGCCGCGACGGCGGTCTCGGTCGCGTTGCCAAGATCAAGTAGCAGTTCGAGTGGAGGTAGTAGGGCAGTGACAGGGATTATTATAACTGCGAGAAACGTGTCACATCAACACCCACCGCATGTTGGCCTCGATCTACGTTGAACTACCCCCCACAGTAGGGTCGATACAAAGAACGAAGTCTTTTTTGGCAGCCAGTGCCTAGCTCTACATGTTCCCAAGATTTCGCCTCTTGCGTCTGCTCATCCTGCTTGTTGCCCCACCGGTCCACCACACGCTCAGCCTCCATCCTTTCCGTCGGCCACTTTGTTATTTCAGCCTGAAAGCCTCTTATTGTTAGAGATAGAAAAAATCCCTGTCCGAACATAAAGGACCCTAGAAATCGTGTTTTTGTTACTTTCGCGTGTGGAAAAAAACAGGTTTCCATCGCCGGAGCATGCAGTAACATCACATTTCACAGCATTTAATGGCGTTAATGGCAAATTCCTGGTCAGGACTTCGTAGTAGCAGGGGTGGAAATGTGTTCCCAGCGGTTCCCATCATCCCGGCATGACGCTTCAACTGCGCCAGCTCGTCTTCCGACGATGGATGCACCAAGAAGGCAGGCATGAAGTCTTTTGTTAAAATCAGGACTGCGTGATTTTCCCCGATCTTCTCTCTGCTTTCATAGCACACTGTGTCTGTTATCAAAGGTTTTGGAAAATCATGTTTAACTCTGTTTTTCGGCTTGATATACTCCGCAGTGTCACGCCTGCTGCATTCCTGGTTCGCTCCGTAAGTAACGAACACTTACAGGTATTTTGGAATCCTACGATGTCTGGGCATGTTTTCCTCATTTTTCATCATTCCCCAATCGTCACTGCCCACAGATGCTGTATGTGGTATTATACCTACTGAAGCAATAGTTGACTTTCAGGTGAAGTACTTTCAACGCGGACAATTTCGTATCTAGTTGCTAGGAGATCTAAAAGTGCTACACCGTTGTATACTTTTTAAACAAGGCAAATCGACGAAATATGCGGAATTTATTGATGCAGAATTTTCCAATTTTTTTATTTATTTTTCGCAAAATTTTCTATACAAGCCCAAAAATTTTGCCGCACTTGCGCATCAATTTCAGGTTCACAATACCTTAAGATAAGGGCTTATTAACCATTAATAGACATACGCCCCTACTTTACCTAAAGCAAAACTTTTACTAAATGCACAGGCAGTAGCGTTGGGCCGCCTTCTCCCATTCTGAGCAGAGCATTGATTCCAAATTAAGCGAGTTTTCAGAAGAAGAATAACGAGAAGAAATACTCCTATAATTTATTTCTAACCGTGCACAGACTTGCCGTATACCATACAGCAGCATGTAATGCAAGTACACGCATGATTGGTGTCATTTTACTGCATGTCATTAGGGCCTTATTTCGTAAGCCTGCCTCCGGATGCGGATGGAATCCAAGCTGCCATGTAATGGCGTAAATGTGGCATAACAATCATTCTGCCTCGCTCTCAATCAGTTTAGGTTCGGTGATCTTCCCGCCTCAGTAACACAACTCCGGTGGCACAACGGGTGCCGAAACAAGTCGTATTTTTGGTCTTGCGATGCGTGCTCGGGTCCGCAATTAGTGTCGACTTTTGGTTCCTGGGTGTTTATCATAGCCATGTAAACCCGCCTGCTTTAAACAAGATCGACTTTTTTTAGCTGCATTTGTCTTTTTAGACCACTACAGAGATTTTGTGCCAATTTTAGGCAGATGATGAATCCGTACAGACGCACCATAAGGCCGCCACTGCTGAAATGTCGGCCTCTATTTCGACGTCATTGGGACTGGAATCTGACATCAATTCCCCTATCATGTTGGAGGCTCAGTCAGCGTCGGAAATTCCACCTACTACCGACGATGGCGGCGAGGAAACGAAGCCTGCCACGCATGACACTCTTAGCGATGTGATAGAACAGGAACAGTCGTCTGAAAAATTCGGGCCCAGAAAAAAACTGAAACCAGTGGCGACCACATCCCACAAGGTTCCTGATCAGGATACCATGCATGATGAAACGTTTAAGGCGATTGAAGACCACGGAGGTGGTCCCGTCTACACGGACGCTAAGGCCAACAATGATGGAGCTGCTGAAACTGAGGACCGTAAATTAGACCAAAAAGCACAGTCTAAGTCTCATAAGCACAGGCCTCTCACTCCCACCGACGCGGCGTCTTGTAAAGAGGCATCTATAACCGGGGCTGAAGCGCAACCAAAATGTGAACCTCAGATGGTCCCCTCCGAGGCAGTGGGCGATGGCGGGACGGATGGGTGCCAGTCACTCGTGCACTCAAACACAGAGCAAGAGCACACTCCAGATACCGCTGGAGGTCAGCACATGAACGAAGGTGGTCTCCAAACTGGAGCCCTCTCGGAGTCGGTAGAGGTCGATTCTGGAAAAATCGACGACGGACAGGGAGAATCCTCCCAGCCAGTCACAGAAACTCACACCAAGTCGCCCCTGATGCCTGAAGGCGCGTCAGCGGCCAACGATCATGTCGGTGACGCAGAAACTCCATGTGATAGACCTGTTGTTGTGAGTGAGTCCGCTCCGCCTTGTCCCGATCCCAACACTTTCGAATGTTCCGGGGTGGAAAAATCGGAGGCGGAAAGTCAGCAAAAACATGTTAAGGACGATGGTTTGCAGGACGCAAATATAGATCAGAATGGTGACCACACGAAACGAAATAAAGGAAAGCAACACCGTGGTACGAACAGCGGCAGTAGAACGAAGGTGGCGCCTCGGAGGGCGAATTTAAGCGAGCCAGTCGCGGATGTCCCTGCTGCCTCGGAGCACGAGACTTTTTCGCAGGAGCCCACGACAATGACAGACACTGTCTCGGTCGCTTTTCCCTCAGGGATCCCCAAACCTCGTCAAGAAACTGGAAACGCACGTAGACCAGAGGAACCCGATGAATCGCACTTAACATCACCTTGGTTCACGTGATTCTGGGTTAAACCTCCGATTCTCAGTTTTTTGTCAGCGCTCTTCCATCCTCAGTGTATTTTTTTATGCATTAACATGTTTACCCGCCTCGCATGAAATTATTGCAGACTTCTATGCACGTTCCTTTTGTCTCCTTGTTGCGTGGTCCTCCATCCAACAACGCTCTTCCATGTCATTCCAAGCGAGAGTCATGTTTCTTTTTTGCAATTTTTTGATAGTACTGAACTCATAACCTTGACTTTTGTCCTTTGTACTAATTTTACTGCCAAGTTTTGCCTTTTTCCCGGTGATCTCTCTTCATACAAAGTGTGTTATTTTGCCTATGCACTCTTCCTTGCGAACGATACTCTCACATCCAGGAACACCGTATTTGGAGAGGTTCAACAACGCGGTAGCCAAATAGGGACGAGCGGTGGTGCGCAACTGCAGAACACGTTGACAACTTTGACAATCGAATTTTCTCTTGGCAGGAGCCAACAGATGTTTCCACTTCAAATGTCGGCGCTTTCATCTTCGCCCGTATTTGTGTATCTGTCACCATTACAAGGCGCTGGAAGATGCCTACACGGTCGTGTTTGCAAGCTTATGTTGGATGTTTGGGGACCTATGTCGCATTGGTTGCAGAGCTTAAGTCTTCCTTGATAAATATTCCGGACAACCTCGTAACTCTGCCGCAGCTGGTTGGCCACATCACTCACTGGTGAAAACCACTTCGAGAGCCAGATCACTAGAGTACATCTTCCACCGCCCTGAGATATACATGTTCGGGTCGGCAGGGTTCAGAATTCTGGAGTGTCAATCCTGGAAGAAACGGCTATCCCCTCGGGGGATTTTGTTGAATCGTCATTTTCAAAAGGTTAAATGCACAAAATCGAATGGAAATTCCAACAACTTGCAGAGATAGCTGGGCTTGTGATGATCGATGTTCCTTTGCGGCATCGTCTTATGCTTGATGTTTGGCTTGCACTTAACTGCCAATGTTTTTATTCATCAACTCGGTCGGGTGTAGTTGAGACTACAGTTAGGCCTAGTGGCCGTTTGAGGCAGCTTAAGAACGCGCCGTCACTTGAAAGTTCGACCGTCGCAACCGACGGTGTCCACCGTGTGCTCCACAACAAGGTGAAGCAGGCACGGTGACCGGCGTGTGGCTTAGTTCCTAGTGAGAGTAGACTTGCGCAACCACTGTTCGAGCTGGTCAGATGTCTGGTGCGGAGAATGGACTCAATGGCTGCCATACCTAGTGACCTGGTCTGCACGCGCCACGTGCACGGGGTTGAGCGGTGAACATTTCACGTGCGTGAGAGTGCCGTAGGTAGCGTTTAGAAGGAGCTGTTTCAGCCTGATTCTCATTCCGCCACTTCACAGAAACACAAAACTGGACTGGCTGCGTGTACTGAGTTGGGGCGTCAGTCAGCAGCCTTCCAAGCCACGGCTCTTGACGCGCCATGATGGTCTCAGACTCGAGTCACATGCAGCAGGGGAGCCGCATGGAAGCGGAATCAAGACGCACACTTCCCACTTGCGCAGGAGGTGACATTTGGCTGGTTTTGGTGAGTGATGATGTGCGATGAGATGCTGGTGAGGGAGGATGTGACGGTGTGGCGCAGCCGGCGGTTGTGTACCGCCGGTTTTCATGAATTCGCATGTTTCCTAGTAGGCCCATACGGTGCATGAATGAGCGAGTGCAATGTGGACAGCGGAGGCGAGTGTTGGTTGGTGCTCCAGTCACTGCGCAGGGCGGCGGAGTGCAGACGGGGCTAGGTATGGTGGGTGTGCTGGACGTGTCGAAACTGCGGTCAATTCCGCTCTCGTGGTTACGCATGTGGCCGAATAGACCCATGCGGTGCATGAGCGGGCGAGAGTAGTGCGGACAGCGGAGGCGGGTGCAAGTGTAGGTTGGTACTCCAGGCACTGGTTCGCCAGTGTCTGTGCGATGGATTCACAAGTGACCGACCGGACCAGCGTGTGAGGTAAAGGTGCGTTCACAATGAGGACAGGTATACACCAGGTCTCATCTGGCGGTGCTGGTGTTGATGCCTCAGGATTGTGTGTAGCATTGATGGGCATTGCAGCCGCCCCAGCGGCAGACCTTGAAGCAGTGGAGGAGAAGGATGATAGTGGTGGTTCGGGAGGGACGTCGAAGTTTGTTGACATCGCGGTAGTTGAGGGAGAGGTGGAAGGAGAGACGACGGTTGGTGCAGTCCGAGGGCTGCAGTTGGTCCGAAGGTCTCTCACAAGTCCAATTGGTGCCCGGGATGTCCGCTGGCACCGTGGATACGTTAGAGGCGGTTGGGTGTTGGCGTTGCGAGGTGGGCGCAGTTGAGATTTGCGAGCCCAGCGTTTTGCTTTCGCGGCGGCAATGCGGTTTGCCTCGTAGATCGCTGCGTCTGTCTTCACTGTCCTCCTCCACGTCGGTCGGTCTCGGGCGAGGTCTTCCCAGTTGGCCGGGTTGATCTGCAGACGCCTCAGTGAGGTCTTCAGAGTATCTTTGTATCGATGGATTTGGCCTCCTTGGCGGCGGAAACCCGTGGCGACATTTCCATAGAAGATTCGTTTAGGTAGCCTCTCGTCCATCCACACGGGGTGGCCGCTCCAACGCAGTTGCCGTTGTCTCAGCATGACGCAGAGGCTGAGGATTCCCGTCCGCTCCACCTACATGCACACGCTCCCCTCACCTGCGTGAGAGTGACCGAGGTCACATTAAGAATGAGCCGTTGCAGCCTGACCCAGCCCTCTAGTCCGCCACTCCACACAAGCACACAGCTGGACTGACTTCGTGGACTGAGTTGAGGCGTCAGTCGGTAGCCTTCCAAGACACGGTGCTTGGCACACCGTGGTAGTTGCAGGCTCAGATCAAACAGGCAGCAGAGGAGTTGCATGGTGAAGGATCCGAGGAGCACACTTCCTTCTGGCGTGGGAGGTGGCAATTGAGTGTTTGCGTTGTATAGTGATGGGTTTTGTTGTGTGGTGCAGATGCGGGCAGGGGAAGGTATGGTGGTGCGGTGTAACCGGCGGTCGTCTACTGCCGGTTTTCATGAATGCGCGTGTGTCCTAGTAGGCCCGTGCGATAGCTGAGTGTGCGGGATCAATGAGGGTAGTTAAGGCAGATTCTGCGAATGTAGGTTGGTGTTCCAGGTGCTGGTTCGCCAGTCATCGTGCGATGGATTTACAGATGACTGACGAGACCGATGGATGAGGTGGATGTGCGGGGACAGGGTAGATCAGGAGTTTCATAGTCGGTTTCGGTGGCGGTGCTGGTGGT